AAGAAGCCTTAAAACCCTTCAGAGCTGCTGATCCAGATCGTTTTAAATGCTCCTGCGTCCAGCAGCTTTAGACGAAGCAGAGAAATTAATTACAGTCTCACTGTGAGCCGGGGAAGCAGGCATCAAAGAACGTAAAGTTTTCACTTCACACCATCTCCTGGATGTTTTCAAAGGTTTTTCCTGCTGAGAAGCAGAAGCTGAGAAGAACAGAGGTTTTAATGAGAGGAGTTCCTCCTGAACGCGTTGTTCGCCCTCAGAGTCCGTCATAAAACGGCTGAATCAAACTGACAGCAGAACATCCTGCTTTATGGAACCACCGCAGCTGGAGGCCGATTCAGAAACTGTGTATGTCGAGATACTGGGAGGAAACGCAGGAACCAAACAAGAAAAGACCAGGAACCAAACAGGAAGATGCCAGGAACCAAACAGGAAGAGACCAGGAACCAAACAGGAAGAGACCAGGAACCAAACAGGAAGAGACCAGAAACCAAACAGGAAGAGACCAGGAACCAAACAGGAAGAGACCAGGAACCAAACAGGAAGAGACCAGGAACCAAACAGGAAGAGACCAGAAACCAAACTGGAAAAGACCAGTAACCAAACAGGAAGAGACCAGGAACCAAACAGGAAGAGACCAGGAACCAAACAGGAAGACACCAGAAACCAAACAGGAAGAGACCAGGAACCAAACAGGAAGAGACCAGGAACCAAACAGGAAGAGACCAGGAACCAAACAGGAAGAGACCAGGAACCAAACAGGAAGAGACCAGGAACCAAACAGGAAGAGACCAGAAACCAAACAGGAAGAGACCAGGAACCAAACAGGAAGAGACCAGGAACCAAACAGGAAGAGACCAGGAAGGAAGGAAACAGGAAGAGACCAGGAACCAAACAGGAAGAGACCAGGAACCAAACAGGAAGACACCAGGAACCAAACAGGAAGAGACCAGGAACCAAACAGGAAGAGACCAGCAACCAAACAGGAAGAGACCAGGAAAAAAGAGAAGAACCAAAAGGAAAGACCAAACAGGAAAAAGGAGAAACAGAAGACCAAAAAAAGAGGAAGAGACCAGGAACCAAACAGGAAGAGACCAGGAACCAAACAGGAAGAGACCAGGAACCAAACTGGAAGAGACCAGGAACCAAACAGGAAAAGACCAGAAACCAAACAGGAAGAGACCAGGAACCAAACAGGAAGAGACCAGGAACCAAACAGGAAGAGACCAGGAACCAAACAGGAAGAGACCAAAAACCAAACAGGAAGAGACCAGGAACCAAACAGGAAGAGACCAGGAACTTAACAGAAAGACACCAGGAACCAAACTGGAAGAGAGCAGCAACAGAACAGGAAGACACCTAGAACCAAACAGGAAGAGACCAGGAAGGAAGGAAACAGGAAGAGACCAGGAACCAAACAGGAAGAGACCAGGAACCAAACAGGAAGAGACCAGGAACCAAACTGGAAGAGAGCAGGAACCAAACTGGAAGAGACCAGGAACCAAACAGGAAGAGACCAGGAAGGAAGGAAACAGGAAGAGACCAGGAACCAAACAGGAAGACCAGGAACCAAACAGGAAGAGACCAGGAACCAAACAGGAAGAGACCAGGAACCAAACAGGAAGAGACCAGGAACCAAACAGGAAGACACCAGGAACCAAACAGGAAGAGACCAGGAACCAAACTGGAAAGACCAGTAACCAAACAGGAAGAGAGGAACCAACAGGAAGAGACCAGGAACCAAACAGGAAGAGACCAGAACCAAACAGGAAGAGACCAGGAACCAAACAGGAAGAGACCAGGAACCAAACAGGAAGAGACCAGGAAGGAAGGACAGGAAGAGACCAGGAACCAAACAGGAAGAGACCAGGAACCAAACAGGAAGAGACCAGCAACCAAACAGGAAGAGACCAGGAACCAAACAGGAAGAGACCAGGAACCAAACTGGAAGAGACCAGGAACCAAACAGGAAAGACCAGAAACCAGGAAGACCAGGAACCAGGAAGAGACCAGGAACCAAACAGGAAGAGACCAGGAACCAAACAGGAAGAGACCAGGAACCAAACGTGAAGAGACCAGGAACCAAACAGAAAGACACCAGGAACCAAACTGGAAGAGAGCAGCAACAAAACAGGAAGAGACCAGGAACCAAACAAATGTAAATTATTTTTGTACAAGTCGGTAACTATATGCTGCAAATTACTAAATTAGTGGATTATTTCTATAACCAATTAATCATTCCAGCCCCAACCAGGTTATTTCTATAATAATCTGATCCAGCGAAGGTGGTGAGGCTGAAGGCTTTAACGCTGCAGTGCTGCTGAATGGGTTAAATAATCAGGTTCTGCCTGATGCCAGGCCTGAACCGGTGAAAAGGTTCTGATTCTGGGAGCATTCGGTTTTCCCTGTGGGAGGATTTCCTGTTGGACGACCAGATCAGGATATCATATCCACACTGAATCCTCACCTAACAGAGCCCTGCTGGGTCCTCATCAACACCTGAAGCTGCGGCTCGACCCGAGGCGACCCGGTCCGATACCGGGCTCAAGTTACAGCGTTTACTAACAGAGGAGCCCTACGCTCCCTGAACGCAGCTGCCCTGGGCTGAAATGGAGAAGAGTTCTGATTGGCCAGCAGGCAGGTGAGCAGGATAACGATCCTCCACTGAACACCTGAGGAGACAGGAAGCTGATGTCTCAATTTAAACCTCGTTAAGATGAAGCTGTCAGAGCATCAGAGGGCGAGCCATCATCATCATCATCACTATCATCATCATCATCAGTTATTTCTCTTTAACAAACTTACTGAGTATCAGTATAGACTGAAAATGTTCATCCTGCTAGAGATGTAGCTAAAGAACATTTAATTGCCCAACATATTGTTTAGTAAACGATTCATCATTTGTAGCCCAGGATGCATCTGCAGAAAAAATATATATTTATACATGAGGGAAGTTCAGCCCTTTTCTACTTGACATCAATAGTGTGCAACTGATCTGGCCTTTTTTTTAAATTAATCAATTAATAACTGGATAGAAAAGGTGGTTAATACGAGATCTTTTCACTGAATTTGAACCAAGTCAAGATCAAATTTCCAGAACTTCTGGGCAGCCCAGATTTACAGACACTTTTTTTTATCTTAAATGTGAAATGTTTATTTTTTGTTCAGTTTTTGCTTTACTGCTATGAATGTTCTGTTCTTTCAGTAGATAATCTTTATGGCGTCTATACGCTGTGGCTAATGATTAACTGATTGCTAAATTGATAGACGACCAACATCGGCCGATACCGATGCAGATATTATTACAATTTGGGGTTTTTTGGTCCACAGAGAAAACACACCGGAACCAGAAAATAACCAGGTAATTAGCTTTTATTGGCTTTAATTCTGCGACGGCTGTAACGTCATTTAGTTTCAGCTCATTTCCCTGCAGCTGCTGCAGAGACGTGACCATCAGAAACATGCCAGTTATTTCCCAGGAGCCTCCATGGCTACCAAACCGCCGCTCCCACAACCGCCAGGGGTCAGGTGTCATCAGGCTCCACCACAAAGAATCACTTTAAAGAAAGCTTTTACTCTTCAAGTGTTTTCTTATGAGAATTTGTGCAATTTTAAGTCAGATCAAATTAAATTCTCCAGTTGTGCAAATAATTAATCTCTAAATGTCAAAAACAAAATGTGGTTCATGCTTCAAACTAAAAGCAGATAAAGTGCTGTGAAATCTCCCGGTGGATGTTTGGTATTTAATCGGATTAAACGTTCAACTGTGATGCAACAATCAGGATTTGACTTTATTCAGCTCCTCTGGTTCACTGCTGTTGTTGCCAACAGATTCACTGCTGCAATCAAGTCAACAGCAACATTTCCCATAATTCATCATCAGAGCGACGTCTTGTCAGCCTCACTGAATAAATGTAAACTTAGGCCGGTCACAATGACAAACTTTGCTGGACAGTAAATTACTTTATTGCGATAAAGATTTTACTGTTGCTAATTAACAAGCAACACTGAAACTGGAAGATATTTTAAAATGAGACACTTCAGTCTCTGTAAATAAAATTGTCCTTTAAAAATGAGCAAGTTGAGTCCAAAGCACATGGTCAGGACTTTAACTCAGTCATTTCAAATAATTAAATACATTTTAATTTTTACATTAAAAAGTTTTTTCCGGTCAGAATATTTGTATCCACAGGTTTCTGGTACAACTGTAAATATGATGCACAAGCGTCAATACAAGCAAAAGCGATGGACTCAATTTCTGCTTCAAGAAATGATTTGATGGGAGGCTGGAAAAAATATTGTTGTGTTAAATATGAAGCTGATCAAGATAATCTGATGGCTGAGTAACAGATTTAAAACGATACGTTGGGTTTTTTTTTAGCTCATATGTCTTTATATTCAATAATTTAACAACAAAATGGGATTTTGAATTGAACATTTTTATTCTGTGGATTATTTTTACCCAGAATGCCCTGCGGGGTTTAGAGGGATGCCATAATGAGCTGGAGGTGTTTCTGGGGTTCCCTTCTGGATCAGATGAGCGGAAACAGGATCAATGCTTTACCAAAAGCCAACAAACATTCAATTATTACAATAAATATCATATATTCATGCATTTAAAACACAACACTCATTACAGGAGCCAATCAGGGCGCAGGTGTGTCTCCAAACAGGTGCAGCAGTTTCTCCTGACCACAACGACACCAGTGACGTTCAGAAACTGGTTTAAGTTTATTTATCAGACACTAACCAGCCTCTGTCCAACCAGCCGGTCCGGCCAGAGGGACAAAACCTGAGCTGCAGGAAATCCACGGGACGATTCCCTGTTTTCCACGCGGTTGACGGTTAAACTCCCCGTTAAAGCCGCTCATTTCAGCAGCAATGCCACTTTAACAGAGTTGGTATTTCAGCGGGACAGCAGAGCCAACAGCGGGCTGAAGTTACCCGGGCAGAAACCTCCCTCGGTTCATCCCGACAGCAGCGCCCCAGAAGCGGACTCCTACCTCCAGCGAGTGTCCGCTGACCACCGCGAGGTGAACCGATGGGAGCAGGGAGGCTCAGCCGGTCACCGCGCCTCCACCGACAGTTTGTGTCTGTCGGCTGCTCGGTGTCCGGTGGCAGGAACCAAGTTTGTCTCCGAGTAACGGCTCCCGCGGCGGAGGGAGAGCGGGAACAGCAGCGGCGGTATCCGGGCAACCTGCGCTCTGAGCTCCAAGCGGCGCAGCGGGCAGCCGAGGCAGCGGGCCGCGCATGCGCACTGCGACAGATACTGCACTACAGCAAAGATCGCCTAATGAACGGATGAGTCACTCAGTATAAAGAATAAGGAACATATTTTTGATCAAATTTTAATGTCTTAAATGTAGCTTTTTTCTAAATGAAAGAGCTGAAAGGAAACATGAGCTTTCTGATAAACCTTTTAATATTAAACTACAAAAAACACACTTTGAAATTCTAACTTTAGCCAAACTACATCAGGAATAACGTAAAAACTGTTTCCACTGGATGTAAGATAAAAGTTTGAAATGTTTGAATCAAATTCATCCACAGCCTTTAATTTGAATGGATCATCATCATCATCTGAAATCTGCAACACAATAACTGGAGATGACTCAGACTGGCCATCTGAGAAAGACTGATGAACTGTTTTACTGTAGAAACACAAAACAAAGTGGTTCTGATAACTAAAGATCCAGAGGAAAGGCTGGACTCTCCAGACAAATTTGAATGATTCTGCATCACATGCATCCCATGCACAGTTTGTAAAGCTTTGTAAATATAATTAAATTGTTATTCTTTCTAAGCTCTGATTTGCTTCTGCTTCTCAGTTGTTGCAGAAGCCGAACCTTCAGGTCTCATCACTGACAGGTTTTCAGATAGAAACTCAAACAGTTTCTTTAGTAATTGGTTGAAATTGGCAGCAGTGGCAGTCAGCTGTGGCCTCCTTCACATGATCTGAGGTGTGAACTTTGTTTTGTACGTTTGTCTCTGATTGAGGATCTCGTCCTGCATCCTGTGGTGTGAAGCTCATTTAAATACAACAGAGAGGCAGTGAGATCTGTGTGAAGATTCACAGCAGAGGTGTGAAGATTGTTTAAGTTTTATTTCTCTCACTAACACAGGACTCTTTAAAATCAAACTTATGATATGAAATGTGGGGCTTTTCTGTGGTTTAGTTTATAATCATCATTTGGCTGCAGGAGTCTTTAAATCTCCTGCAGAGCAGAAGACAGATTTTTGAAAATAGAAATTATTTCTTCAGCTCATTTCTGTAAATAAATGTTCACTATATTCATAGAAATGGTTGGATTTAAGATGAAAATGGCTGTTAAATAAACAGGCAACGTGATTTCAGTCTGGAAAATTCAGAGATCCTTTCCTAGAGATGGACCAGAGATGCTTCCTTGCTACAGTATAGCGTTAAAGCTACAGTCCTTCAATCAGTAGCTACAGCTACATACACTGAACAAAAATATAAATGCCCCATGTCAAATATGAGAGTTTTTGAACATTTGGGTTGCACAAAATATAGAGAAACTCAAAATATATTTTAAGAACTATAATTTTCACTGTGTTCACACATGAATCCTCATAAGTTCCTCTAGTTTCCTCCATAAATTAAGAGGAAAAATTACAGTTTGTCTGTTTGGGAGAATCTGGGATTTACATGAAAACAGATCAACTGACCTGATATGTTATGTTACTATGAATCCTAATATGAAGTTAAACACAAAATAAATGTGTTTTTATAACTATTGCATGTCATCTGGGTTATTTCTCTAAGATATTAAAGTATTTTAATTCTGTAAAGAGTGTGAAAAAAGCTCAAGAAAGTGTGAAAATTATCCAAAGTCGTGTGTTTGGATGAAAAACATTTTTCTTTGCTTACAGTCCTGCTGGTAGAAGTAATGCAAACACACACACACACACACACACACACACACACACCACACACACACACACACACACACACACACACACACACACACACACACACACACATACACACACACACACACACACACACACACACACACACACACACACTGTAACCCAGCTCTCTGCTGATGCAGCAGTGCGTCTCGGTGGAAACTGTTACTTGGGTTTGCATGGCTGCATGGCTGCATGGCTGCATGGTGGCGGTGGATCCTCCTCCTCTAAGGACCAAACTGGCTGCAGATGCTGAGTCCTGACATGCAGCGTGATGCACAGGCCAGCTCTGTGCGTTGGTACATGTGTTTCAGCAGGTCAGAATAACACAGGACATTTTGTATTAACAGGACAAAAGAAGGAATTAGTTTCCTTCTAATTTCAACAAAATTCTGAAAATGTAAAATAGTTTCTATTGACCTATTTATCAATCCCAAAACCGTGAAAAACAAGATGTACATTTAATACACATAAACCTGACAGGCAGGTCATGTAGCAGCAAAACTTGATGAACATTTCCTCATTGGTTGTTTGTTAAACTTAAGTTTATTTACTTATTTCCATCAGTGATGCACCTTGTATTTCACATGTCAGTATTTACACCGGCAATGAGTCGGTAATAATATGATTCCCTTCTGTGCTATAAAATTGAAGATTTTATAAAAGTTACTTACTGCCTAAACCCAACCTTTTCTCTAACCTTGAAATTAAAATATCCACAAATGAAAAGATGTTTTGATCAAATATTAAAATACTGAAACACAAACCCATCTGTGTGTGTGTGTGTGTGTGTGTGTGTGTGTGTGTGTGTGTGTGTGTGTGTGTGTGTGTGTGTGTGTGTGTGTGTGTGTGAAGCTGAACACTGATGGATGAGAAGGAATCCATACAGAGTTGTAAAAATGATCATCAGTAGAAACTAATCAGCCGTTTCCATCAGAGATTTTTCTTCAGGAAGTTTGACTCAAAAGAGCAGCAGGAAACCCCAACAGGTCTTGTGATGTTTTTGATGGAATTTGTGGAATAAAATTAATAAAATGTTGTTTCGTCTTTCCGTTGTTGAAGATCTGAAACCTTTCAGAGTATCATTGCCTCAGTCCTCCTGCTGTTTCATCTTCTGCTTCTCATGTATTATTTTCTAAATAACTTTGTGGTTTCTGACATGTAAAATGTGCAACATGACTTAAGTTTATTTACTTATTACCATCAGTGATGCACTTTTTTTAGTAACAAGTAATCTAACACGTTGCAAATCCAGTAGTCAGATTACAGTTATCAAAATCACTTTGCGTTACTATTTTCTTTTGTAAATTAATTTTGTAATTTAATTTTATTTCCTCTATGTGTCTTGGGGAGTGACCACCGTTTGTATGCGACAGTATCAGCAACGACAGAAACATAAACAACAGAAAGAAGAGTCAGATGCACTTTTTGTTGCTGGAAAAACAGAAACTATTATGAGTTTCGCTCACAAAGTCTGATTATTATAAGCAGCTCTGGGCTTGTTTCTTTCTAAAGTCGCTGCAGATTTAATAAGTTGCGGGTTGCGGTTTATAAGCAGACATAAAACCCAAAATTTGTCCGACATCCAGTTAGTTTTAGTTGGATTCTCCATTATTTCCGGGACGATCCGTCCCGCTGTGTCTTTGTTAACGTAAAAACATCAAGATTCACGTTGCACTTCTGAAATCCTGTTTATAGTTTTCCAGACAATACTGGAAAAATATGCAAAAACACGTACAAATTACTAAATTATACAGTTGTTTTTGTTTTTTGCACTGTTGTAACCATTAAAAAAAATCTCCTCTTTAGTTCAACCTTATGAGTGGAGACACATTGTTGATGTTACTATTATAAAATAACTTGTAATTAAGAATTTACAGCTGGTGCAGCTGCTGAAAGTAACTGAAAAAGTTACTTTTAATGTAACTCAGTTACTTTCCAAATCAAGTAATGAGTAATCTAAGTTACATTTTCAAGGAGTAAAATTAAAATTAAACATGTTCACTTTAATATGATGGAATATAATCTTTCCCTCATAGCTGAAGAGAAGAAAAGTTTGATTATCTAATCCTGAATTCAATTCAAGAGCTAATCTCTGTATTTATTGTTTCAATAAATTATTTCTGCTCCTTCTTGAGCTTCAGATTAAAGACGGTTTGATTTTTAAAAAGTAAATCAGCTCTTTACCAACAGAACAAGGAAATTACACTGCAGTAAAGAAAAGCACAGAGTTCACCTGGAAGAGTTACACAATAACCTGTTGAACCGGAAACGTCACTGAGAGGAAAATGAAAGTATTTTAACCGATGAAAAGGAGCCGAGACTCCATTACAGGGTAGAGATCTGAGCTGAAACACGAAGGTTTACTGGAACTTAAAGAAACGCTGCAGAAACTTTGACCTGGTGATTTCTGGTTCTGGAGGATTTCTGTAGAAAATGGCAGAAAACACGGCTCTGTTGGAACGTTACCTGAACTGCCATGTTTGTTCAGAGACGTTCAGAGATCCTGTGTCTCTGAGCTGCAACCACAGCTTCTGTTCAAGCTGCCTGCAGAAATTCTGGGAACAAACTGGAAACAAGAATTGTCCCATCTGCAAAAGAAGATCTTCTAAGGATTTACCAGGAGTTAACTTCACTCTGAAGGACCTGGCTGATTCTTTTACTGGAAGACAGAAATCTGAATCCTCAGAGACAGAAAAAGGAGGAAAGCAGCTGATGGTTTGCAGTGAACACCAAGAAGACCCTAAACTGTTCTGTGAAGACGAGCAGAGAGCTGTGTGTCCTGTCTGTGAGTTTTCTCTCCACCAGAGTCACAAAGTGGTTCCTATTGAACAAGCAGTCAGAGATCTGAAGCAGCAGCTGAAATCGGACTTAGAGTCTCTGCAGGACAAGAGGAACAAACACAAACAGGTGGAGAAAACATACGATGATGTGATTCAACACTCCAAGAAGCAGCTGCTGTCCACAGAGAGACAGATCAGAGCTGAGTTCAAAAAGCTCCACCAGTTCCTGAGAGAGGAAGAGGAGTCCAGACTGGCAGCTCTGAGGGAGGAAGAGGAGCAGAAGAGGAAGACTATCAGCAGAGAGATGAAGAGGATTGAGGAGCAGATCTCCTCTCTGTCAGACAGCATCTCTGCTGTTGAAGAAGAGCTGCAGAAAGACAACGTGTCGTTCCTCAGCAGTTATAAAGACACTCAGAGCAGAGCCAGAGGTCAGAGGTCACTGCCAGACCCACAGGTAGTCCCAGGAGCTCTGATAGATGTGGCCAAACACCTGGGCAACCTGTCCTTCAGAGTCTGG